CATCGTACTGAGAGCAAATGTTCCATGTGGAAAAATTCACATGGTCATATTTGCATGTTTATGAAATACTACACACTACAGGTTGTTCCCATCCTATGGGACTTCCTATCATAGGAAGCTAGACTGGGTCCTACCCGTCAGCAGCGAAATAAAATAGCACCTAACAACATGATGAGAGTTACATACAGGTATGGTTTGGGTTCATTGGCTCCCAACCTTGGGTCCCCAGATGTTCTTGGACTAAAACGCCCAGTAGCTGTGCTGGCTAGGATTTCTGGGAGTTGTAGTGGAAAAACATCTGGCGAACCAAAGTTGGGAAGCATTGTATTAGCTTCACTGGAGCAACTGGAACTTACTTCAAAGGGGAAACTCCTAGGATTGGAGTTAACATGCATGTTAAAAACATAAGATAAGCATTAGTAATATTTACCCATAGTTTGAGTGTATGAGGAGGGGAGTGTTATTTCCAGAACAGTGAGATGAGGCTGTGCCTATGGGTTTAATGATTGCCTTTGAGTGTGAACATACTGTATGTCCAGAACCCACCATAAATTAGGTCCACTATTCTTAGTGAAGAGAAACATCACACAGTTCAAAAATAGTAATGTAAAACTATTTTTTTAATTGAAAATACACCTACAAAGTAATATTTCACAAACCAGACTGGGTATACTCAGCTGCCAACCCAGAATGGGTACAGAAAGGAGAGCGTTCTGTAGTACCTGATTTCTGTAAGAAACAGAGTTAGTGTAAAAAATAATTGAAAAATATGACATGCTTTTAACACATCCCCCCATCGTTATATCACAGAAGGATAGATAACCTTTTATATGAAATCTTTGTGGCGTATTTCCAAAAATAGTATCCAATCAAAAGCAAAAACATAATTATAAAGTTACTTCAAATAATCTAATACTAACCTTTGTACACACATATTATATCTCTATAAAAATATTTCTAGTTACACATCAGAACGTATCTGTTTGTAATCTAGTTTTCTTTTCTGTTAGCACAAATAAGAAACAAATAAGAAAAAAGGAGTATCCATTACAGCATTCAGGCAGAGAGATTATTTAAGAGCTTTGCATTGTTTAAAGCAATAGTCCCCAACCTTGGGCCTCCAGATGTTCTTGGACTTCAACTCCCAGAAATCCTGGCCAGCAGAGGTGGTGGTGAAGGCTTCTGGGAGTTGTAGTCCAAGAACATCTGGATGCCCAAGGTTGGGGACCACTGGTTTAAAGCACTCTTGGTTCCTGAATGCACTGGGTTAACTCCTAACAGGTTTCTATGAAGAAGTGCTCAAGGGAAGCTAGGTGAGTAGGATTCACTATTGCTTCACTGTTACAAAAATGCAGATATCCGCAATCTGACACTTTCAGAACAGTCTTAACATTTCCACTTCACATACAGAAGTGTACAAGTCAAACTATACAATACAATGAAACAGTATCACATGCTTTCCTTCTGGTGATGTAATTCCTTCAAAGCTCCATGCCTCCGCAATCAATTTGAAGATGGTTACCTCTCACGACCGATCATAAAACATAGCTGATCTGCAACCCATGGTAAGGTAAACAGATTTTTAAAAGAGAATCCCACTTCTAATGATGCTGTAGCTATTTATAGTTTGACCCTGTGCGTCTGCAGGAATTATTCACAGATCACTCTGTTGAAAGCAAGATCCTGTATGTGTTCCATAAGATCCAAAGGTCATAGACCTATTGGCAAGTTCCCACAATGAAAAAAGGGGCACCAGAAGCTGTAGATCTGAAAAAGGGGGCTCATGAATGGCGGGATCCCTGGCATGGAGTGGAACCACTGCCATAGCATGATGACCTATCAAGCGGGCAGGGAACAGAGCTAGAGCAATGTGATTGTTCTAGTTCTGGGGCTTTGTGAAGTCTTGTTTAACAAGGCCACAGAGTGTACTGCATTGGGACCACTTGCCATCTGTACATGCTGATGAACTTCCACAGTGCCAACATAGGAGGGAGAAGGGAGACTGCAAACTTATTCAGTGAGGAGGTTCTCCCGCATCTCTCCTGTGCCACTGATATCCCTCACAAGAACACTTTTGCGCTGATTTCTCATGGAAACAAGGGTATGGAATCCATGTGTTGCAGAGAAGACCTTTGTGGTACAGTCTTAGCTGCACATCTGACTCCTGTAGCAGTTAGGTGAAGGTTTCATGTGTGTAAAGGAAAACAAGTTCCCTCCACTAATGTCTTTCTATTCTTTTTGAAGACAAACATTTCTTGCACACGCGAGAACACTGAGGCACACAGGGATCTCCCATGTATGCAAGGTCTCCAGCAAATTTAGAAATGTAGCATCGCAATGAACAAGGAAGCTGAATGTTCTTCCAGTTCTGTAGTTCCATAGAAGCACTCATGGAGTTTCTCAAATTCACAGGGTTTTTCACAGGGAAACTTGCTTTTGTTAGTTTATAAGTGACTCAATTAGACTCCCCATCATTTGGCCATTCTGTAGCCATACAAATTTCTGGACTGCTTTCATTCTTAGCATGTCCTTTCATGCTCTCCAGTATGAAACTTTTTAGAAAATGAGTTTCTCACAAATTAGAATAAACCAGCCTTGGTAAAGTAATGTGTTCCCAAGAGGTATGAAGGAGAGGGTTTGAGAAAAGTGCAATTCAAGATATGCATATGCATGCAGGAGAGAAAAGTGCTATGGTGTGTTGGATGAAAAATGAAAATTCAAGCTTTAGCTAAGCATTTTACCATTGAAGTAGGAGGAGTTAATATTGCCTCCTACTTCACACCAACAAGTCACTGGGAATCCAAACTACAATATTGAAATTCAAACAGTTGAGAATCTCAATGCCAGCCATTCCCACTTTTCTCCAGTTATTTTGTCTCTAAATGCCATTATATAAATCACAGCTTGGAAGTGTTACTTTCTGTGGACTACATTTCCCAGAATGCTATCCAGGGATTCTTGGATTTGTAGTCTATATTTCCAAACTCTGATTTTTCCAGTAGATTGTGCAACATGTATATACCTCTCCTGTCTGGCTTCTATGACAATGAACATAAAATACATATAAAATTTTCTTTCTTCCTAATTAATCTGGGATTAAACTTGAAGCAGACAAAAACAAATTACAATATTTGATCATCACAATTTTTAAAAAACCAGCTTTACTTCCTTAAGACCTATAATATTCCTCTTTTAAAATCCTCTCCTATATTTTAAAAATATGTACTATGCATATTTTGCTATGTATATATTCTTCCCTCACGTATACCTCTCCTGTCCGGCTTCTATGACAATGAACATAAAATATATATAACATTTTTTTCCTAATTAATCTGGGATTAAACTTGAAGCAGACAAAAACAAATTACAATATTTGATCATCACAATTTTTTAAAAACCAGCTTTACTTCCTTAAGAAGACCTCTAATATTCCTCTTTTAAAATCCTCTCCTATATTTTCAATATGTACTATGCATATTTTGCTATGTATATATTCCTCCCTCACCACCTCCCACCAAATATTTCAGCACCACATTAGTTCTAGGTTTCTAAAAGATTGCCCCATCTTCCTTCCATGGCAGTTGTTACCGGAAAATGTGATAGGGGAGTGGAAATTTTTTTCCTTTGCAACTCAGATTAAAATGCATTTAGTAACAATTTTCTTGGTTTATGTACAGAAGGGAAATGACCAAATTGAGTGGGAAATCATCCTACCTGAAAGTATTCCCTACCCTCTACAGTTCTAGCATTACATAGAAATGTTGCTGAAACATGTGAGATACTCTGTGCATCCAGCTGTCTACCACTGATTTGAATTGTAGCAGGGATTTTCAGAAGTATATCCTCCTCTTAAAGAGGTAGGAGTGAGGACTGGTTTGAAATGTTGACTGCTTTATGATGTAACTCTGAATCATAATTCAGCACTACCTGCTTGAGTGCAAAGGAGCTCACACAAAACCATGGGCTTGTACACTTCTTTCTCATTTCTAGTCAGTTGCTGAACAAGCCAACAAGATCTCTGTGTTTTTCTTCTCAGACGACTTGTTTAATAGCTACATTGCTTGTTTTAAATCATAGTTTCTGGTCTACACAAAACAATAAACTAGGAATCTGCTAAAGGAACACTGAATTCCAGTTTATTTCTCTTCCTAGTCAGGCAAGAGAAAGAAAAGAGAGTGTGGTGTGCAGGTGCATTTGTTCTCATACATGTAGTACTAAATTACGGTCTGGTGCTATGTACAGGTATGGCCTCATTGGTTTGAAGCATGGGCTGCCCAAAATCCTTTCAATACACCCCAGAATGCCAACTTTCACCCTTAGATGGCTAATTTTAGAAGGCATTTTACAGCACTGAGAAAATGGTGAACAGTTAAGGTTATCTCTATACCACAGATTTAAACTGGCCTAATAGTCTCTCCTGCCAGGGAATTCAATTCAATCTGTGTTTGTCAGAAAAGTGGTAAGAAGTGTTCATAAGAGTTCTCAGTGCCTTGACTTCAGTGAAGAATCCATGAAATGGATGTATATATATATTCAGCAGGGAATGACACCCTTAAAAAGGATCATCTAGACTCCCAACGTGCACAGAAAGTTGAACTGTCAAATTCCCTCACTGTGCAACTATAAATCTAGGTCAGACCTACACAAGTTATGACCCTTGGTGAAGTTGAATGCAACTCATCAGCCACTTATCAGTCTGACAATCCTCTAATTTTTGCAAATTCTGGTAGGCAGCCAAAGTGGGCAGTTTCTCCAGCTTTCAATAGGCCATCGTGCTTGGCTGGTGGGCTACATTCAGCACTTGCTTGGTCCACACTGTGCCAGCCTACTCTAGGGAGATCAACAGAATGTTCTGAATGCTTTGATAATGGTGTCCAATGAGAACGAAATCTCTGGTAGCTATCTTAAAGGCCCACAGTGATGTGGTACCCACAGTTTACTATCCCTCAGAACACTTGAGGGATGAAGACATAGTTCCTGATCCAAAGTGCATGTGTTTGTTTCCACACACATACATATACACACACACACACATATATATATTAAATCTCTGGTCCTGAAAGGACAATGTGCATGAGTAGCAGTACTTGTGTTAAGTAGCAGTATTGCAGTCCAAAGAAATGTAGTGTTACACATACACAGAGATATTTGTGAGTTCTTGATCTAGGGAGTCAATGGGACTTGAAGGTGCACAGCACCAGGAATTATTGTGCTCTTCCTGATCCTAAAATATCCCATTGTGTGGAAATAAAAATGTAATATTGCCCTCTTTTGCCCTCCTAAAAAAACCCCCAACAATAATATGTATCCCTACTTTGACTGTTTCGCTGATCATAAAATACGGAAAAATATGTTTAAAAAAAGAATACCAGATTTGCTACTCGCTTCTCTAGGAAATAGCATCAACTGTAAAGAGTTGATTTGCCATGCAATCCAATGCACCTCTATTCCAAAGTAAGTCCCATCTGCTTGAATGGTGCATACTTTTCGACAAGAGGCGTAAGAGTGCAGTCTTAGTGGTGTTAAAAAGGCATAACCATAATTTAAACAAAATAAACCCTTTACAGAATTCCTCTGCTTTGCTTCTTCAGCTTTAAGTGCGACCACATTTATATGGGTAAGAAACATGTACACATTAATATTCTTGCTAATTTGATTACAGACTATTTTCCATCCCTAAGGATGTAACATCACAATTTATTTATTTCTTAGGGACAGAATCATATACCGCAATCATTACTAATTTAGACTATTCTCCCTAAGGGCTTTAATTAGAATTTAACAAGACATGCCAAAATGTTGTCATTCCACTTCTCTGTCCTCTTGTTCGGCATAATGTTGAGGTAAACACAACATGGCACCTGAGGTCATCTTATACTTTCCCAACCACCGCCACGTTATTTGCTGTGTGAACTGCAGAACTTAGAAAAGTCACACTTAAGACATCAAATCTGCAGCCTCTCAGCTAGTACGGCCACTGTCCACGCTGATGGAGGTATTTCTGGGAGTTGCAGCCCCAAAAAGTAACTTTTCTAAGCTCTGAGGTTGGCGATAAAGCAAACGGCATGATGACCTCATGTTGGGGCATGGTGCCTACTTAGCAGTTACAAGAGGACGCAAAGAAGCCTTTTTGTGTTACAAACCTCCATGTCTCTCATAATGTCTAGTTAAACCCCTAAATCTTTTCAGTGCTCTGTTTGGAGAGAGGGGGAAAGCGAGCAAGAGAAGAACAAATGAATGAAATACAGGAAGGATCGGACAAAAGTGTGCACTTCCCATATTTCTAGTGCCCGGTATTGTACTTCTTCTGCCTCACATCTTGGTTTCGCTGTCCAAGGGCTTTTCGTTCTCATTCTCTTGCGAGATCAGCTGGTAAGGCTTCTTCATTTCATTCTCTTCTATCACAGAATTACCCATCTCAGCATCCTTGCTCCTCAGCTCGTGCCGTGATAAGTGTTCTACAATCCCAGCACCAATCGAATCTCCCAGGACGTTGGTTGTGGTGCGCAGACGATCCCTATAGGATAGGTTGCAATTTAGATAAATCAGGCAGAGCAATTGTTAGGAAACAGCAATTGCATCACAATACACATAAATAGCCTTTCAGTAATATTAGGAAAGGAAGATGCATTCTCTAGTGCAATTTAATCTGTGTTTGTGTTTTGTGTTTTGTGCTACAGCCCTGGAAATATTCATAGTATGCAGAACTCAGCTGAGAAGCAAATCCAGAAAGCATGGCAGAGAATTAAATGGCAGGTCCAGAATGTCAAAATACATGTACATTCTGTTGGGAAGTCTTTTTGTGTATGCTATTTTTTACACAATATAAACAAATAAATGCCATCAACACAGATTGCTCTTACAAACAAATCTCTGTGGAGTTGCATCAGCTGGAGCAATTCATCATGTAACAAATTTTAGATTCTATTTGCTAAAACCTTTGTCCACCGTGTTCTTTCCAACATACGGAATGGCAAAAACACCATAGTGAGAGATATTGTGATTACATATATATCTTAAATAGTTTTACTTGTTACCATTGATTCCTTTCTTTAAAGAATGGTGCACATGGGGCCCTTTGCATGTTCCCCATCCCAGTAGCCCCATGGGGTTGGACTGATAATCAGAAGCCGACACACAATCATCTACCAGACTTCTTAGCTAAACAGAACCTCTGCTCTACCATGCCAGCTTATTTTATCTAAAATGTGGGGGGGAAAAAACTCTGAAAATTCTGTCCAATGCCCGTGAGTACTATTATTATTTTAAAGAAAGACAATGCATTATAAAGGAAATTAAATGAATGACTAGTCTAGCCAGTTCCATTTTATAATGCACCTCATATTTCATTCATGAAGAAATACTCACAAAAACCAATCCACAGCAATGATAAGAGTGATATCGTCTGTAGGCAAACCAACAGATGTCAATACAATCACCATAGTGACTAGGCCAGCCTGAGGAATTCCTGCTGCGCCAATGCTGGCAGCTGTAGCTGTGATACTGTTCAGAAAAAGGAGACATCAAAAACAGTCACATGGTGTGTTTTCCCCCCCATTTTTATAACATCCCAAGAGTCTTTCAAGCGGGTGAGTTGGAGCTAAATGATGTGCTTCCAATGATGTTTCTCACAGTCAAAAATGTCACAATGTCCCATGGGAAAGACTGGCGAATAAGCTCAAGAAACAATCAGCAACGGAGCCATTTTAATTAATAAACGAGAAAATATATTAATAAAACAAAGGCAGCACTTGTGGCTGAAACTATGTTCATAGCATAAGCCAAATTATAACTTTCAGTCCATTCCTCCCTGGCAAGTCTGTTTGTGTGTGTCCCTGTACTCTGGTTTGGTGCATGCACGCATCCCCTGAGAATCACTGCAGATTCTCATTCTCTTCACCAGAGAGGAACAGAGTGAAAGTTGACTTGGCTTACATGGCAAACAGAATTTCAGTCATTAAGTGTTCTCCTACCTGCATGCAATATAAACACTGTATCTGTCAATTAGGAAAACGATCACAAAGAATTTCTCAGCTATGTAGAGAACAAGATATCCCCCCACAAAAACAAAACGAGTCTGAAATCACAGTTTCATATTGTGCCTAATTCATATTGCACCTAATGTTTGTTTGTTGTTTGTTTAGTCGTTTAGTCGTGTCCGACTCTTCGTGACCCCATGGACCAGAGCACGCCAGGCCCTCCTGCTAATACAGTACACATACGAACAGCCATAATACATTGATGAATGCATGTGAATACATATGCAGCCCTTTTATAGTGGAGCAGCCCATCTGGAGGCCACAAAACAGCCATGTCTGCAGGCAATGACATTAGCCATAGTGGGAACTGGAAGTCTGGGCAATGTATCTCTTAACTATTTAGAATTTTATTAAGGTCATGGAGGGGGGAGCCTAAATGGATATGGAAGGCAAGCACAGACCTCATGTTTGTGTGTGTGTGTGTGTGTGTGTGTAGACTTGCAAACACAATAAAAGCCCTAATCCTTGAAATGAAAAAGTAGCTTTAATATTTTCTTTCAAATACTTTCTTTCTTTTCATTTTCTATTACAGTAAGAGATCAGAGCCAAAATACTTCCCCTCCCCCTTTTAAAAATAATATGGCCTTTACTCACAATCTTCTTGATTTAAATTTGGTTAAACGATGATTAACTAAGAAAAGACGTAGTAGAGTTCTATAGCCCTACTGATATGTACCTGGGAAGTCAATTCCTTGTACTCAATATTGCCTCTAAGTAAACATATATGGGATTGTGCTATAACATGCAAATTAACCTGGCTGAAATTTGCTGTCTTACTAGTGATAAACATATAAATGATGGATATTTATTTATGCTACATTTCACTTCCACTTTCTGGCCCTCCAGACGTGCTGGTCGACATTTCTCATTATTCCTGCCAACATGGTCCCCTAATCCTTTTTTGGAGCGCGGGGGGGGGGGGTTGGATAGGCTCTGAAAGCTCGTGGGAAAAGGGGGCAAAAAAAGAGACATCACCTCTCAACTCCCTTGTAAATAGTATCTGGATCTCATCCTTAAGGTGTGCACATCTCGATGCTTTAAGCCATGGATACAATAAGATAAACCTTGGCTAGAAATGAAACATGCCGTGCTCCTCATCACAAGTACACACAGTGAAACAAAAATGTGTTTTGCTCCCACACCATGTGAAAAACTGCTCCTAGTTTCACTGTTCAATAGACAAAACTCAACCCTGCACATTTTTGAAAGGTTTACAAACCTGATTGTGAGAATCTGTCCGAAGTTTAGATCCATGTTATTAACCTGTGCAATAAAAATGGCAGCCAACGCCTCGTACAATGCTGTGCCATCCATGTTAATAGTTGCACCCACAGGAAGCACAAATCTTGTAATACGTTTATCTACACCATTATTCTCTTCTAGACACTTGAATGTGATTGGTAAAGTGGCAGAACTAAAAACCAAAAAGAGGTGAAAAATGCAGAAAGAGAACATTACCGTACTGGAATAAAAACCCCAAACACTTGATATAGACAATAATGAAAACTTTTTGTTACTGACAACATGAATATTTGTTTGTGTGAATGAACCACCCAGAGCAAAACCACATAAAGAAGTCTCCTGAAATTGCCCAGAAGACTATGCTTTTCTGTAGAAATATTTCATACACTAGCTATGAGTCTATGCCTTCTAAGCTGACCTTTGCTCTCTGAATGCACTTACAGGGTTATCGTTTGCAGGGGACACTGCATGATTTTTAATCAGGAGTTTCAAATTTGCTTATAAATTTATTTTAAATTGTTTCAGCTACTGATCTTTTAAACACTGTTAGGGCTTAATCATGCCTTAATATTAGCATCTTAATTTATCATACTTTTAAACATGCATGTTTTAGCTGTTGTGCGCTGCTTTGAGCCCCTTTCCTGAGGGGGAGCCTTTCTCTGTGAAAGAGTGGGGTAAACTGCTCAGGTACCTTTTCTTTCTTGGGGCAACTCTACAGATTTAAAGTGTTTTCAAGCTGTGGAACTGTACCATACAGCTGTGTAACTGGTCCCTCTCTTCTTAGACATATTTATTTATTTATTTATTTAATATGCCGCCCACACTACCCAAAGGTCTCTGGGCAGCTTACAACAATTAAAATACAATACAATTTAGAACAATTAAAATACAATTAAAATATATATTAAAAGTGCCATTGGACCCACAGCTAATATTATTTCAATTAAAAGCCTTCTGGAACAGGAAGGTTTTGACCTGGCGCCAAAATGTCATCAGCGTCGGCACCAGACGAATCTCAGTCGGGAGGGCATTCCATAGTCTGAGGGCCGCTGCCAAAAAGGTCCTTTGTCTACAGGCCGTCCGTCTTACCTCCTTAAGGGATGGCTTTTTCAAAAGGGCCCCCTTGGCTAGATCTTAACTGCCGGGTAGGTTCATATGGAAGGAGGCGGTCCTTCAGGTATCCAGGGCCCAAGCCGTTTAGGGCTTATATATTATTATGATTGTTGTTATTCTTCTTCTTCTTATAGTATTTATAATATCAGAAATGCTTAAAATGCTTGGTAATATCGTCCTGAAACAAACATGTGACACATTGATTTATACCTAGTGTAAATGATAAATGGGAATCAGAGAAAGGATCACACTGTGAAACTAATAGAGGAAAAATACTGTTGTAGCACTAAAACAATTTGCAGAGCCTTGAAGAAGAGGCCAGACTCTTGATTTTTGCTACAATGCACCACTGCAGATAGCATCTTCATAAAGCACACCCAATGAACTTAGGAGGGTGAGCTGGGCAGACTGAACAATTGATAGATCATCCACCCTTAAGACTAGGGACGATGATGACAATAACAACAATAGTAACAGCACCTAGAGTTCAAATGGGGCACAATTGTAGGGTGATGAAGTCATATACTGTATTTGCGTAGACAAACAGAAGGTAAGTGATCTAAAAACAAAAAAAGAGAGGTAAATTTCTGCCTAAAGGCAACTATGCCTTGATGAGACTCTTCCTACCTTGAAGATGTTCCCAAGGCTGTGATGAGAGCTTGCAGCAAACCTCCAATAAAGACCCAAGGGTTCCTTCGAGTAATGAAAAAGTAGAGCAGTGGGAGAACAATAACCGCATGGATAAGCAAGCCAATGATCACTGTAACTGTATACATGGCAAGCTGACCTCCAATCACACCCATATCTTCCATTTCAACAATTTTTCCAGCAATCAAAAACAAGATACCAAGGGGTGCATACCTATAAACAAATCACAGAGTTAGTGCATGATGCACAGCTATCCAAACACAAGTCTATCCTGTGCAGAATTATACCCTACATGGAACACATCCATTAACTACTTGCACTCAGAAAATCTCTGCTTTATTCCAATGAAATCCAACCATCCTAAACATGGTCAAACACGGTCAAGATTGTGGTTGAATATTAGGAAAAACATGCTAACTGTTAGAGCAGTATGACAGTGGAACCAGTTGCCTCGGGAGTTGGTGAGTGCTCCATCACTGGAGGCATTCAAGAAAAACTTAGATAAGCACCTGGCACATATGTTTTGATTGTATTCCTGCACTGAGCAGGGGGTTGGACTTGATGGCCTTGTAGGCCCCTTCCAACGTCACTTTTCTATGATTCTAAGAATATCAGTTTTGGATTTTGTCTTGAGAGCCTTATGATTGAAAAGATGTCTACAAGTGTCTCAACCAACCAGTCAATTTGTTTACTGAGAGTTCTGTCAAAAAAGATGTAGAGAGCAGTTTTGTTGCCTCCTAAGGATGGTGTGTCTCATGAGAAGAGAAGATTCCTTGGAAAAGACCTTGATGTTGGGAAAGTGTGAAGGCAAGAGGAGAAGGGGACGACCGAGGATGAGATGGTTGGACAGTGTCATCAAAGCAACCAACATGAATTTGATCCAACTCCGGGAGGCAGTGGAAGACAGGAGGGCCTGGCGTGCTCTGGTCCATGGGGTCACGAAGAGTTGGACACAACTAAATGACTAAATGACGAAAATGAAGGATGGCATGACAGCAGCATCCAACACTTACCACATAATTAGTGCAACCAGTCGCATTATAGCCTCATTAAGGCTGTCAAAGAAGTCTCTCAAGGCCCGTCCTTGCTCCCTCATGTTCCCAATCACCAGGCCAAAGCTGATCGAGAACACCACGAGTCCAAGTGCGTTCACTCCGTTTACAGCCCCTGGAACAGGGATCATTTCTTTTCTCAAGTGAGTTAGGTTCTCTATTGCTTCTGAAACATTGTTGATAATGCCGTCAAGGAAAGATGTTTCGTTAGAATCATGTGCCGTACTAGGAGCGCGTTCCTCATAGTTGGTTTTGAACTGTCAGAGACAAGGGAAAGGATAGATATTGCTCTTCCATATTTTCCAGGTTTTCAATTGCAACTTTGAAGACAATTTATTCAAAGCCCCCTGGACAGATGAAAGTACAGTAGGACCCCTGTATCTGCATGGGATTCGTTCACAGCCTCCCTACTGATGCTGAAAAACACAGATTATAGCAATTGCTGTTTTAATAGCAAACGCTACACATATAATGGTCTCTGGCTCCCTCTAGCGGGCAGTTCTGGTAACCTCATCTTTAGAAATACATATTTCTATGACTTTTCCTTTAATATTTTTAATATTTTCAGACTGTGGCTTAGTAAATCAGTGGATACTGATCCCATCGATATGGGGGTCCTACTGTAATCTAACTATTTTTACTTCCTAGCATTCTAATTTTTATATATGTTTTGTGTAACAACAAGGTTTGCCTCTTCTCTGCATTTTGCCTTTGTTGTAACAATATTTAATATTTCAGCTATGCAATGCCCTCCCTTTGGATGTCCAAATGGCTCCAACATCGCCAGTCAGTGCCAAGTTAAAACTTGGCTGTTACTTAAGTGCTTGGGACCTGGGGAAATCACAGCTTGTTTTTTTCTAGTCTGTCAGTTTGTGGGTTCTAATTTAATTAAATTGTTTTAGAGTGTTTAAATAGTTTACATTAATTAAACCACTTTCCCCACTGATTATTTATTAACTCCACTTACAGCATATTGTGTTATATACCAGTTAAGGCCCACATGTGCTTAGCAGTACGGATATAGCTTTATACGGTGTTTCCCAGAAAATAAGACAGGGTCTTATATTAATTTTTGCTACAAAAAGCTGCGTTAGGGCTTATTTTCAGGGGATTTTTTTTTCATGTACAACAATCTGCATTTATTCAAATACAGTCATGTCATCTTCTTCTGGTCGCTGCACAGTGCTGCACAATGGTGAAGGGTGGGGTTTCACTTAATTGGGTCTTACTTTTGGGGTAGGGCCTATATTATGAGCATCCTGAAAAGTCATACTAGGGCTTATATTCAGGTTAGGTCTTATTTTCGGCGAAACTGGTTATTTACTGTCAGACTTATATTACTGAAGGCTCCATTATACAAGATGCCGATTTCTCATCTAGAAGCAGCAAACCTTTAAGAAAAAATAGCTGTTAGTTTATTCTAACAGCAGCCTCCCTCAGGCATCATTTGTCAAATTAATATCATTTTGCTTTGTAATTGGGAGAGAGCATAGTTTTGTTTGTGAGTTTTATGTTTCAGGCATGTAACGCTGAAAGATTTGTATGCCTTGATGGATAACACTGTAAAATAAGACCAAGCAAAGATTTGTCTTCATGTGTGACCCAACCTTATGACAGAGGCAATAAATTAAACTTCCAAATTTTCCAGCTCCCAATGAGTTAACAGACAACCCTGGGTGTAATCTAGAGATGTCAATGCTCCTATGTCCTGTCCTCATAGGAAAAGATAAAGAAGTGCATCGTGATTTTTCTCACTACCATAATGCTGAGAAATTTCCCGTCCTTTTAAGTAAGAGTTCTTGTATTGGTAACAATGATATTTTACACAAATATTTTTGAGCAAAATTGTGCAGTTTGCACAAATTACATATACAGTGGTGCCTCGCTTAACGAGCGCACCGTGTAACGACGAATCCGCATAGCGACGCGGTTTTTGTGATCGAAAAACCGATCACATTGCAATGTTCTGAATAGAACTACGCCACTAAGTTATCATAGTAAAATGCAATCAGTAAGTCATCATGTAAAAAGAAGCAGAGAATTAAAGTAATTAAAAAACCAAAAAAACCAAAAAAACAAACCCCAAAACATTAAAATAATAATAAAGAAAATAATACTTCCAAGATAATAAGTAAAGCCAGCAGCAAAAAAAGAATCTCAAATATATATATGTCTGGTAAGTACTACTTATTTTATCACCTGCTTACTAAAACAGTATTACATTACAAAAAGCAATCACAAAAACATCTGCAGGAAAGGAAGAATATAAAAAACTCAGATTGTTTTTCTTTCAGTTTTCTTTGGTTCCTGAGATCTCAAAGCATGCAATGAATTCTAGGATACAGTACATTCTCTCTTTCAGTGATATAACCTACTAATTTTTACCCCATATATTCTGACTGGCTCAGAATACAGTGTGGCCACAAAAATGATTTATGTCACCTAAGTGCAATAATGCATTTCTCTTTTCACAATATCAGCCCTGCAGAAGAGTGAAGAAGCTACACATAAGACTTATGTACTCCTTTGAAAGATAATCTACTGTATTCTCATTTGAAAAGAACAGCTGGCTATTACCTGTTTAAAGCAGGCTTCTACCAAATTTGGTGGAAACATGTTTCTGTGAAGAAAAAAATACAACAATTTAAGACTTCTTTGTCATCTTTTACAGTCACATCAAGATCAAATGGAGAAAGAATCAACTTATTTCAACACCTCAGGAAAATAAAATGGCACATATTTTTGGTTTATAGAGTAGAGAATACACCTTTTTGACACTGGGCACAATTGAATGCACACTGTTAGGAAGAAAGACACATTGACATCAATTGCATTTATGCCATACCTAGAACTGGGTTACATATTTACTGTCCATAGGAATGGCATTAGCTACTCTATACCTGGTTAGCATGTTCTCTGTGTGTGTTTGTGTATACCAGTACTGTATTTACTCTGACTTGCAGCAGCTTAGCAGATGCTTTTCTTGTCACTATCTTCCTAACTGCTTTAATGTGATATGCATCAGTCTGGGACTTCTGTAGACAATGTATGTACAGTATCTTATATGGTGTCAGTGGTATACTACACAAGCATCAAGAGATATCCCCCCTCTCATCTATAAAATACACAATGGCTAAGATTTAGAGTCGACCCTTTAACGAGATTATTAATAGTAGTTCCATACAAAATGTAATCTAGGTTATAATACAATGCTACCTATTTCTTGTTAATCTTGGCAATTTCCCCCCATAACATTTGAACTACAGCAATCCCGCTACTCTTATTTTGGTCACAGTCTATCTCAGTATGATAGCAAAACCATACTATTAATCTGATTGTGGCATGGAGCATATACATTCAGAGAAATAAATTTCTGCCACTGGGGCTACAATTTTTGTGCTATTTGGAACACTCCTAATTGCCCCATTGTGTGGATGTTTAGTTTGCACTGAAATAGAGCTGTAGGTGGTGTTACGTGAGTTGATCATCTTGCGATGTATTTTCTGGGTTGTGGCACTGAAATGGATGACAAGAACCCCCCCCTTCTCTATTTTCATCTTCTCTACTATTTCAAGATTTAAATACATTTTCCCATTGATGCAGCTGTATTCTAGATAAACAAGATACATCGGCAATATTATGTGTACTCTGCTAGTTAGATGTTTCACTATGTTCTTTGCTTTATTTAACAAACCAACCAACAAAAGGAAAGTTGTTGTGGCCCATTGAATGGTGGCTGGGGGGAAGACAGGAAAGGGGGCAGGAAGAGTGACATTAATTGGAAGGGGGACAAATCAGAGTGACCCAAAGACCTGTCTGGGCTTTTCTCACTGCAGAAGAAATTTCAATCGGAGTGAATGAAAAGGTTGCTCAAGTGAATTATAAAGAAGATCCCACTTAACGTAAGAATCTTTTTAGGGTGAACCAGATTGCTCCAACTTCCCTTGTCTGGACATGCTCTAATTTTGCAACTAGTATGTAGCTGGTCATTTAATGGGCACGTATCCAAAGGGAAAAAACTGTCTGCATGGTCACCCTTCTATAGATAGTTTTTCCCTACAAGATTCTATCCACAATTAATAATGACACTTATTGTCACCACATTATTGGGGTGGCACTGTGGGCTAAACCGCAGAAGCCTGTGCTGCAGGGTCGGAAGACCAGCAGTCGTAAGATCGAATCCACGCGACGGAGTGAGCTCCCGTCGCTTTGTCCCAGCTCCTCGCCAGCCTAGCAGTTCGAAAGCATGTAAATGTGAGTAGATAAATAGGTACCATCTCAGTGGGAAGGTAAAACGGCATTCCCTAGTCACACTGGCCACGTGACAATGGAAAACTGTCTTTGGACAGGCGCTGGCTCTACGGCCTGAAAAGCGGGATGAGCACCGCCCCCTAAAGTCGGACACAACTGGACTGAAAATGTCAAGGGGAACCTTTACCTATTGTCTACATCACTCTTCTATGTATTAGTGTTTTAGAACCATGTACTCACAAATATTGCGAGGACATGGTTTGAAACTCCAGTGCCCAAAAAGCGTATGGAAAGAGCTCATTCAGCTCATAGAACTGTCTTGTAAATCATGGTTGCTTTTATAAGGTCCAACACTGAAGAGGAGCTACAGTTCATCTCTAAGAAACCACAGACATTTCCAAAATAGGTATTTATAGGCTCAATGATGGAATACTTACAATAGAAGGGGAGAACTTGTGGCCCTCCAGGTATTGTTAAACAACAACTCCCATCATCTCTCATTGTTGGCTAGGCTGGCTAAGACTGATAAGAAGTGTAATCCAGGAACACCTAGAACATTGGTCTCCAAACTTCTTCTCATCATACCGCCTTTTTCATTTCCGAGAAACTATCACACCCCCATCTTTCTTTTACCACCAATTTCAAACCCCTCAATTTTAAATTTATTCAGTTATTTATTTTCATTTCTTTGCCACCTTTCTCCCAATTAAGGGACCCAATGTGGTTCCCAAATAATTAAAACCTCAATGAATTATGAGACTAAAAAACCAATTAAACATATAAAGCTGTTTTATTTATTTAAAGTCATAACTTAAAATGAAAAACACACACCAAAACATAATAAAATATTATAAATAAATTTTAAATAAATGTTATGAAGAGATATACTATTTGTGAATATTTTTAAATTAAAAATATGCACAAATAGTATATCTCTTCATAAAATGTAATGAAATTTTATTAACTGTAATTCCTTTTCATCAATACAGGCATATTAGAATAATGTTCCTGCTGTGTAAATAATACTAAAGATAAAATAGGAAAAAATAGCTTAAATGTTTATTTCTTACTTTTAACATATGGAATACTCCTTCTTTATATATCTCCCAGCACCAGAATACAATCATGTTTTTGACTATATTACACTCACAGTTTCACAATCCTGTAAAAGATTTTGAGTTCTCCAGAACTTGTTTCAGTCTAGGTGGCAAAATAAAATACCACAAAATATTGTGGAATTGTTGTTGCTCCCAAGGTTTTGCCTGGTAGGTTTTAGATTTGTTGTATTTTGGCTAGTTCTGTTTTTATAATTAGGAGCAGTTAGATGGCTCAAAAAACAAAGCAAAACAAAACAAAAAAACAAGAGCAAGCCTTCAGGTTCCACAGGAGGCTTTGAAAGGACGGACACAGTTATTCTGCAAACTCATGCCATCTATCACTGGGTGGCACTTATCTTGTTTTCAACCTGATCTGCCTAATTAATTTGGGGTGTTTCATCATGAAATAGAGAAGAAATATTCAAAAAATCAAACAGATCAATAATTCATGTTACGGTCCAATAAGGGAGGTGGTGCTGTGGGTTAAATCACAGAAGCCTCTGTGCTGCAAGGTCGGAGGACCAGAAGTCGTAAGATCAAATCCACGCAACGGAGTGAGCTCCCGTCACTTTGTCCCAACTCCATGCCAACCTAGCAATTTGAAAGCATGCAAATGCGAGTAGATAAATAGGTACCACTTTCGTGGGAAGGTAACAGTGTTCCGTGTATAGTTGCACTGGCCACGTGACCATGAAAACTGTCTACGGACAAACGTGGCTCTATGGCTTGGAGACAGGGATGAGCACTGTGCCCTAGAGTTGGACATGACTGGACTAAATGTCAAGGGGAACCTTTACCTTTACCTAAGGTCCAACTGGGTCTGCCTCTCAGCAATTAAAACATTTCAGTCATATAATGAGCCTGGGACTTCAGTGATCCAGGCTCAAGTCCTGATTGAGCCATGAAACTGACTTGGGGTATTGTGGCCCCTCACATTCTCACTTGACCCAAGGCCTATGGGAAGGATAAAATGGCCAGGTGTGTTTCTGGAAATACAAATTATATTCATTTAATCTATTTCAATAAATAGATAAGATGTTCATGGGGATATTTCCTTTCCTCCTCCCCCAAATGAACAGGACTCAGGTTGGCCACCAAAACTTTAGTTTTTTGAATCCTTCCTCAGAATTCTGCTGATGTTCTGCTCTAGCACACTCCTAAATTTCATCATATTTCCTCAGGCAGCATCTTACAGACTAGCACATGCTCCTGGAAGAACTGAACTATTGAATGGGATAAAAAGCTGAGTGCAAGAGGAAAAGGAAACACAAGTCATGTCAGTGGACAGCAGGGAACCACAGCCCTGGCCCCACTCTGCTGCCTTGTGTACAACCCCACTAGAGAAGCTGAGTGCCTCCCTCCTCTGCTCTTTACAGCAGGGTTGTCTGTTTCTTGAGGCCACATTGGTTGTAGGTGACACGTGTGTGTTTTCTGCATGGGCCTGTGAGTTATGGGTGGGCCGGGCCAACACTGCCCCTTTTCTTCACTTCCTTGTTCCCATCTTTTTTTTTCCACCTCCCCACATTCCCTGGGTATGCCTTCACATTCACTCTTCAGTGTCCTTTCTTCCAGATTCTCATGCCCACTCTCCAGGGAAGGTCATGCCCAGTTTGGAAAAAGTAATTTGAGGAGCTGCATAATTCCCAATTCTGGCTTATGAAAATGACTACCTTACAAAATATATCGTCCAACCTCTCCAAGACTGGCAGCGTTACCTCGTGTTTTCATGCTGGGTGGGGAGGATGGAAATCCCCACCTTGAGGGCCACTAAAGAAATTCAGGTTATCAGGCTCTTAGTAGGTTTGGAGTGTTTTTAGCAGCCAGGGGAAAGTCTATATTCCTGCGTAGTTTGCACTGCAACCAAACAGGCAGATGGAAGAAGAATAGACGGATCTGCCCTGTTTCCACCAGCCTGCTCACTTGCGGCCATGCAACTTCCTCATCACCTATGGTGAACAGTTGAGTTCTTAAAACTACTGTCTTATCTCTATGTTATAAGTTACAGTAGGATCCCCTTATTCATGGGATCAGTATCTGCTGATTCAATGATCTGCAGTCTGAAAATATTAAAACTATTAAAAGGAAAAAAAAACCTAGGAAAAAAATGTATTTTCTCATTCATTACGACAACTGGCCATAGGGGGAGCCAGGGAGTGTGCTATGAAGAATACAAAGCATGGTCTTGGGCTGCTTAAGACCTTTCCTTCTGTGAGCATTTTCCTGGGAGGCGGCAGGAGGCAATGGCTCCTCCCCCTCCTCTTGCTTGCTGGTTTACCTCAGTATGTGGGTTTGAAAGTATCGGCCCGACGATCTAGGTAGGAAGTGGGACAAGGCCGTCTTTAGGGCCAGCTGGCTTTGACAAGCCGCTCAACATGGAGGTGAGC